GGAAGGCAGGAAGGCAGGAAGGCAGGAAGGCAGGAAGGCAGGAAGGCTTTGACCTAACGAGATAATAAGCTGTCCACCTCTTATGTACTTAAAGATGAATGGCCCCACAAGTGGTCCACAAGATAAGATGTAGTCACTTCTCTCAACTGATATAAAAGCCCCCTCTCTCTCTCAAGGGTGTGACTCTCTTTCTCTGGGAGCTCTCCCACTGTCTTTCTGTCAGTGCCTCAACTTTAAAGTGCCCATTCAGTAAATAAATATTTATTTATGTACTCAGTGAAGATTTTTGTCACTTTCTCTGTGTGTGTATGTTTATGATTGGGTATATGTGCATATATGTGCTAATGTATGTGGTAGCCAGAGGTCAGCTTCAGGTGTCATTACTCAGGTGTTGTCCATCTTTTTTTGAGACAGTGTCTCTTACTGACCCAAAATTCACCTAAGTAAACTAGGCTGGCTAGCCAGTGAGCCCTGGGGATCAGTCTCTCTGCTTCCCCATGCTCAAGGTACATACCACCATACCTGGCATTTTATTTTATTTCAGTTTTTTGAGACAATGTTTCTCTGGAACTCGTTCTGTAGACCAGGCTGGCCTTGTACTCACAGAGATCCACCTGCCTCTGCCTCCCAAGTGCTGGGATTAAAGACGTTCATCCCCATCACCCGGTACACCGGACAACAATTGTTTCATGTAGATTCTGGGGATGGAAAGCAGGTCTTCAGGCTTGCAAAGTCAAATCCTTTACCAGTTGAACGCCACCTCCCCAGTCATTTTGTTGATTTTTTGAGAGAGGGCCTCTTTCTGTATTCAAGGCTAGCCTAGAATTTACTATGTGGCTCAGTCTGGCCTCAAAATTGTGGCAATACTCATGCAACAGCCTTTCAAGTGCTGAGATTACAGGTATGAGATTCCACACTGGGCTCATGAGTTTTTGTTGACTGAGTTTGAAAATGGACGAATGAATGAGTACGTGCTATACATAGAAGCATTCAGCAACTCTCCTGCATGGAAATCCTGTGTGCCTGCAGTACTGCGAGCTTGCTTCATGGCTGCTGGTTAGGACTGGACCCAGCATAAGGTCTGTTCTAGGGGGCAACTAAGCCCTTTTAGTTCACTGGATTAGCTCCCTAAGGCTGCCGTAACAAACTACCTCAAACAAGGCAGCAGAACACAATGGAAACATTCGCTCCCAGTTCTGGAGGCCAGAAGTCCAAAACCAAGTGTTGACGGGGGTGCACGTTCTCCTGAGTATGAAAATTCCAGACCAGATGCTGTTCAAGTCATGCCCACTTGCAGCCCCCTCCAGCTCCATCCTTATAGCTGATTCTAGAATTCCTTCTGCTGAAGGTAGCCTGTCTATGAGTCTGTAAACAGACCCATAGGTGCCCAGATCCCAGGAGGCACCAAAGGCTACAGATCTTAGGTTGCCAGACTCCCTGGGACATCAGAGGGGTACCAGTGGCGGTGTATCCTTCGAGTCACATATTTCTTCCTTGGAATTCTGTCCCCCTCTCCCTGCTGCTCAGGAACTAGGGACAACATGGCTGCAGGCTCATGCTGTGAAACCTCACCATTTCTCTGAACCCTTTAAGAAGGAAGCCCCCCACCTTGCCTTGTGGGGATGAACTTTCCTCAGAGTCCCCACGGGAAAGTTGGCTGCCCATGGTGTTAATGACTCGTTTAATAAATTCCTTACCCAAAAGAACAATCCATTTCAGTATCTCCATTGAGCTCCCTAAACAAGACCTTCCTAGAGGAGGCCCATCCTGGGCTCCTTCCATCTCTCACTGCCTCCCTCCAGCTTCTGCTCCTCATCTTTACGATGACTGCCCTCTCCTCTCAATAGCATTTAAGGCCCATCCAGAAAATTCCAGAGGGTCCCGCCATCTCAAAGTCTTTAATTACTTCTGTAAACATGTTCTTTCTTTAGAATTTATTTTATTATTTTATAGACATGGGTATTTTGCTTGCATGTATTTCTGTGAACCGTATGCATGCCTGGTGCCCAGGGAGGCCAGAAGAGGGCATTGGATCCCCTGAAACTGTCATTATGGATGGTCGTGATGTGGTTCTGAGTGCTGGGAATGGAACCTGGATCCTCTGAGAGAAGCCAGTGCTCTTAATAGCTGAACCATTTTTCCAGCCACAAGATCCCATTTTTTTCAAATAAAGTATAATTCGTGGTTTAAGGAGGTTGAGACCAAATATATGTCAGGGAGCCCATGAGTGCCAGCCCGTTGCTAACTGCTCTACGTTTTTACAATTCCTAGATGCTTACTGCAGCTTATATTTTGACAAATGGTGAGTTGAAGGGAGTGGGATTGTAGAGGATGATGTGGGTAGGGATAGAGGAGAGTTTAGGAATGAATGGCTTGAAAATTCAAATGAATCCTACATTTGCCAGGCTGGTTGCAGAATGGGAGAGAGGGGGCTGGGTATTGACTGAGCTCTGCTGATTCTTTTTGTGTGTCAAGGACTGGGACCACCGCAGACAAAGACATGGAGAGGCAATTATGTTTGATGGAGAGTAATGACTATACTGTGCTTCTGGGTCATTGGGCCCTGGGTCGGCTGGGTTTGGTGGCTTTCAAGAGCTCTCCAGGTAATTGTCATGTACATGGAGAACAGAAAACCACTAGACAATAGCAGTCTAGGAAAGACAATTTCACAACAGCTGTTAATGCAGATTATCTTTAAGAGTAGTAACAAAGTTCATAATGTTGACATCAATAATTAACCCTCTTGACCGTCTTGGTGAACTAATAATGAAGTAAAAGACCCAGAGGCGGTGGCTGCCAATAAGAGAAGGTGCTTTCTGTAGGTGCAGCAACTGGCAGAAGCTCGCTGCCTGAGCAAAAGAGACCCAGCAGACGGGGATGATAAAGGGAAATGGGTTGGAGATGATTTGGGCCAGAACCAGAGGACAGAAGTCATTCTTAAGTTTCTTCCCTGCTTGCCTGCAGCAGCATTACAATTGTCGAACAGATGATAACACAATATCCAGAAAATGTACATGGCCAGTTAACTGGGGGAGTTTCAGCACTGTGAGACATCTTTTCCTGGGAGGTAGTGCCTCTTCTGACCTAGAGGTAAACAGAAAGACAAGGAAAGAAGCCCTGCTTTAGTTGATTCTAGATGTAGTAGGCACATATGTTTGAATACTTGGTCCCTAGTTGGTAGAACTGCTTGAGAAGGATTACGTGTGATATTACTGCAGGAGGTGTGTCCCTGGGAGTGGGCTTTGAGCTTTCAAAGTGCTCACCAATTCTCAGTGTATTCTCTCTGCCTCCTGCTCCACCACCATTGTAATGATTGTTGTGTCTCTTGAAGAGACAAGCCACGCCCACTCCCCCCCATCCACTGAGGCAGGCTGATCTTCAGCTTCCGGCTTGAGCTCTCTCTCTTTCCATCTTCCTCTCGGGGAGGCAGCTTCTGCCTCTCTCCCCACTTCTCCCCTTCCCCCACTTCTGTATCTCTCTTCTCTCTCTCCCCCCACTCTCTTGTTTCTCCTCTCTCTCTCTCTCTCTCTCTCTCTCTCTCTCTCTCTCTGCTCTTCTCCCCTTCTCCCTTCCCCCTCCATAACCCTCTGAATAAATATCTAACCTCACTCTGCATGGCGTGCCTATCCATGTCTCTGTCTCCTGCCCGCCCACCACGTGTCTCCCTGCCTGGGACCAGCCACTGCTTGGGGACCAGCAGTCATCTCTGCCTGGGACTGGCTGCTCTCAGGGCCCACTGCCTGCTGCCACATGGCCCGCCACCACCGCTTGGGGACCTATAGCATTTCTGCTGCCTGCTGCTGCTGGGGATCCTGTAGCATTTTTAATTTTTCCATTACATTTGGTGCCGTGACTCGGATAGGGCCTCCTTTCCCGAACCTCTCTCCCAGGGTCAGAATCCGAAACCAGGTATTTTTTTTTTCCACAACCACATGTTCCATATGCCTCAGCGAGATTTCTACAATGTAATTTATACTCATACCACTGGCTTTGATTGGTAAGTTTCCCCCATTCTGCTATGGTTGCTTCCCTCAGCTTAAATTGTGTTTGGAATTGCTCGGGGCCAATCCACCTATGACTGGGGGCCCAGGGTCCCTCAGATCCTTCTTTCTCTCTTTTTTTCCATTTCTTTTCTTTTTTTTTCTTCACCATAATAGACCACTCAGAGCGGTCTCTGGCCTCTCTGGCTTCCGAGTCACCCTGACCAGATCCAGCCAGGCCATAGCACCCCACCCGGGGTCAGGGGACACTCGGCTCATGGGTCCTGCGGTGTTCTTGCCGATTTGCACTCTGCCTATAGGGGGAGACATCCTGTTATAGGCCTTGTGGTGTAGCTGTTTCGCAGGTTTTCACAATTTCAGCTGTGGGTAACAAGCCATCCATGTCCATCCCCCTTGAGAGGGAAGCCTTTTAGAGGCCCCAAAACCCCAGCCTTACTTCTTCATCTCTTACCCTCACTCTGCTGGTGTCCCGCCAGCTCCACTTTTATGGGGGCTTTCTAACTACTGTCTGCGGGAGCTTTCTAACTACTGTCAATGCACAGGCAAATGGACCCTGCCATGGTTATTGCTGCCAACAAGATTGGTCAGATCACGAGGCGGCTTTTTTCAATCCCAGCCTTTTGCACCCTGTCGTGGCTTGTGGCATGGTGTGACTTTTTCAGTTCTAGCCTTTTGCTTCCTGCCACGGCTTGTGGCATGGTGACTTGTGGCATGGTGGCTCAGCGACAGGGCGGATCATGCCTCTAGGTCTCTTATTATTAAGCTTAAAATCCCTGCAGCTCAAAAATTGTGGATTTTCCATACAACATGTGACTGATGCCATTTTGACTAAGGTCAGATGACTTCACCACATATTAACTGAGTGGCTTTTCCATTCAACCTGTGACTGCTGCCATTTTGACTGGGGTCAGGTGATTTCGCCGCCATCTTGGCTGAGAGCCAGGTCAGGTGACCAAGTTCCATCATCTTTACTGAGGTATTACCTGCCTGGTTCCCCAGTGTTAACTCTGTTACATGGGTGACCTTACTGCCATCTTAACTGAGAGCCAGGTCAGGTGACCAAGTTCTACCATCTTTACTGAAGCATGCCCTGTCTTGTCCCCCAGTTTACTTATGTTTTTTTTTCACTAAATTCCTCTTGTTGACTCTGTTTCATGTGTTTTGTGCAGTGGCATGCCTTTGGTAGACATCCACTTTGCCCAATTCCTGTTCACTCTACTGCTTCTGTGGAAAACCTCTGGCCAGAAAGAACACAAACATCCTTGTCAATTACAGACCACAAGGAAGTTCCCATATCAGTCAGGGGGAGTAAGGACAGCTGGATCACAACAACTCCCCCGTTTTATTTTAAAATATCTTGCCTGTCGTGGGGAATAGCCCTCTAATATTCCCTGTCTTAGGTGATATCCTGCCCCCAATTATTGCCTGTCCGTGGCTACCCAGACACATAGCCCTAAACCATGTATCCCCAGGACTGACAACGCCAACGAGCCAGACCAGTGCTGCAATCATCTAGCATGCACTGAGTGGTAAAATTAACAAAAGCAGTATTCCAAATCCCTTTCATATGATGGTTGAGTTCCATAACAGTAGCAGAAGCATGCAATACAGTGCTATAAGTAACACACGTTGAAAAGTCCAAAGATAGTCCACTTGCTCCTGAACCAGAGCCACTTGTTGGTTTAAGGTCAATACCACGCCAGCACGGTCTGGAACCACAAGTCTTGGTGGAGGGTGTCCAGGTTGAATGAAATCCACAGAGCACGAGGTTGAGGTGAAACAGCAGCTTTTTTATTGTTCTGCTGGGGCTAACTTTTATACCATGGCACCAAATGGGGAGGGGGCTGCGAAGGGACTGTCACCTGACCCAAGGAGGGACTCTCACCTGACCCCAGTAGGGGTCAAGGACTGAACACATGCACTCAACCTTCACCTGTCCCCAGTAGGGACTGTCACCTGACCCCAGCAGAGATCAAGGAATAATCATGTGCACTCAAACTTCCTTATCCAACTCCAGGAGCAGAGGGAAGTTATGATTCTTTGCAGATAAGCACCTCAAATGGGGGCAGGGAGATATAACTCGGGGTAGCAATTCCCACAGGTCAATATGCCCAATTGAATATGTTCACTAAGATTTTTGAATGTCCAAAGCATTGCTGACTCTTTCAGCCAGCTGGTTGACAGTCTCAGCCATCTGCACAGTCTGGGAGAGAGCAATTACGGCAGCAATATCTGAGGTGGCAGAGATAGCAATAACGGCAATCACAGCTGCGGTGATTCCAAGGTCTCTCTTCTGCCAATCTTCTATGGTCCAGCACTTGTTGCCATATTTGCTGATACTCCTGACACCGCCGTGGTGTCCCCCAGGCCAGGCACTGACTGGGCCAGGGCAACATGCCTAGCAAAGCTCCACTCCAGCTGCCTTCTGGTCCTAGACGCACTCTCTCTGGGTCCAAATTGCTGAATGGAGCGGAGCAGAACTCAGGGAAGCAGGCTCGCTGCTCCTGCTCCTGAACCATTGAAGGGACCCCACTTTAACAATCTGGAATTTGGGCATCATGAAACTGTCTGGCTACTTCCTGCTGAGTGGGGGTGCTGCATTCTTAGGGATGTTATTCCTTTTGATCTCTGGTCCCTTTAAGGGACAAGCCACACCCTCTCCCAGCGACTTCTGACCTCTCCTCGCCATCTTGGCCTCTTTCCTTTCTTTCTCTTGGCGTGTGCACACGTGTTTTCCCATCTCTTTTCTCTCTCTCCCTTTCTCTGTTTCTGTCTTTCTTTCTCTCCCTCTCCTTCTCCCTCTCCCTTTCTTTCTCTTCCCCCTCCCCTTTTTCTCCATAACCCTGAATAAATATTTTAATCTCATTTTGCATGTCCATGTCTCTGTCTCCTGCCTGCCTGCCCACAGCCAGCTCTGCTGCTCGCTGTGAGGAATCTGCACCTCTCTGGCAGCCTCTGCCTGGCTCGCAGCTGCTCTGCGAATCCACTGCCCGGGTATCTTGGACAGACCACATGGATGGGCATGCCACCAGCATTTTTTAAGGAATATTAGGGGGTATTTTACATCAACATTTCAGGGGGTCTCGGTGATTCAAACCACATAAATTTGCAATGACTCCACATGTTCTCATCCTCTGTGGAGATAAAAGCAGAACCTCTTTTCCAAAGCATCAAATCCTTAGGCCCATATTTTAAAGTCAAAATACCTTTCTTATCAGTTCCCAGAATCAAATGTCTTTCTCCAGTTCAGAACACAAAAGACAATACAATCAACACAATAACATACATCTGTACACATTCTATCTTTTTGAGACCCTCAATTCACCCTCCTGCCTTCTCTTTACTGGCCAGTCTTCTAGAGGGCATCCCTCAGAGTGTCTCTGGGGATGAAGAAATACATACTCCTTTTAATCTGACTTGGCTTGTTCCCAGTCTGGAACATTTAAACCCCCTCTCATAATAAACCAGGGGCTAACTTGACCTATTGTTTGTATAAAATCTTTGACTGTCTTCCTTGTTACTTCCATGCCTTGTTGCTTTAAGAGTTTCAGTTACTTTTTGAGACCTTTCAATTCACCCTCCCACCTCTTCTTTATACTTGCTAGTCTTTTGGAGGGTGTCCTTCAGAGTATCTCTGGGGATGAAAAATAAAACACATTACCTTCCCCAATACACTCCTCGGATGGAGCGACCCCGTTCACAAATCCCCACTTTCCAGATCTCAATGGAACCTCCACTTTGCAGCGCCAGCCATGGCAACTGTAGTTCTTCTGAGCGAGGGATATCGGGATTAACACGCAACACAACTTCAGGTTTTGCAGACAAGCCTCTATTCCACTTTCTCACACAGTATATATAGCCCTCAGCAGGGGAGGCTGAGCCAGCAAAAGCAGGAAGCTCATCACCTTAACTCAATGGCTTAGAGGTAAACATCCTTAGAAACATTGCTGAAAACAACAGATTGTTCCTGTTTTTGTTCCTGTTTTCAACCAACCACAAGAGTGCAAAACAGATCAAGTGGGGGTGCGAAGGCCTGTCCTCTAGGGACCCAACACTGTTTATACAATGTTTATGTCTAAAACTTCTGTTTTCACAAGCCCAAAGAATTCTTGTGAGTTCCAGGGTCCGAATCGAAGGATCCACCTTAAACAGGTCAGATACACCCTCCTTGATTCCCTGGCCCTAAAAAAAATTTTTTTTTCTTATTTAACTTTGTCCTCTGTTCTGTCAATATGTTAACCAGGTGTAAGAGACACCAGACATTTCCATGCCACAAACACTGAACAGGAGCAAAGAGACCAACTATGCCAGGATGTGGCCAGCACCCAGCCTTCTCAGGTCCCCCCCAAAGATGACTTCCATAAATAAGCCGGAAGCAGTCTTGAGGATCCACCGACCCAATTTCTTCAACCTGTGGTGCCTAATCTTCCACTTTTTATTATAAAAAAGAGATGGGAATGTAATGATTATTCTGTCTCTTTAAGAGACAAGTCATGCCCACTCCCTCCCCCATCTGCTGAGGCAGGCTGATCTTCAGCTGCTGGCTTGAGCTCTCTCTCTTTCCATCTTCCTCTCGGGGAGGCAGCTTCTGCCTCTCTCCCCACTTCTCCCCTTCCCCCACTTCTGTATCTCTCTTCTCTCTCTCTCCCCACTCTCTTCTTTCTCCTCTCTCTCTCTCTCTCTCTCTCTCTCTCTCTCTCTCTCTGTCTGCTCTTCTCCCCTTCTCCCTTCCCCTTCCATAACCCTCTGAATAAATATCCAACCTCACTCTGCATGGCGTGCCTATCCATGTCTCTGTCTCCTGCCCGCCCACCACGTGTCTCCCTGCCTGGGACCAGCCACTGCTTGGGGACCAGCAGTCATCTCTGCCTGGGACTGGCTGCTCTCAGGGCCCACTGCCTGCTGCCACATGGCCCTCCACCACTGCTTGGGGACCCACAGCATTTCTGCTGCCTACTGCCACCAGGGATCCTGCAGCATTTTTAATTTTTTCATTACAACCATGGACTCTAACCCCTGAAACTGTAAACCCAATTAAGCACTTTCTTTTGTAAGTTCTCTTGGCCGTGATTTATTTTATTTTATTTTTGGCTTTTGAGACAGGGTTTCTCTGTGTAGCTTTGTAGCCTGTCTTGGAACTAGCTCTGAAGACCAGGCTGGCCTTGAACTCATAGAGATCCATTTGCCTTTGCCTCCCAAGTTCTGGGTTTAAAGGTATGCACCACCACTGCCTGGCAGCCATGTTTTTCATATCAAGAAAAAAGTAAATAGAGCAGAAGTTAGTACCAGGAGTGGGTGTTGCTGGGAAGAAGTCGACTGAGTCTCCTTTTTGGTGGGGTGGGGCTAGAAAAGTAGTTGAATGCTCTAGGCAGAGCCTAGTAAGAGCTTGAAAGACAGTAGTGCTGAAGTCACGTGGGCCATGGGGGTTTCAGAGAGGAACAATATTAGCACCTGGGCTAGAGATCATTCTTGTGATAGTCTGGCTGCTTTCTGCTCTTGTCCTAAGGATTTGCTGGAGAGTATATTCAAGAGTAATGAACTATCTTTTTGTCAGAGGGGATTTCAAGACAGTTTAATATTGACTCTGTTACAGCAATCACTCTTATGCAGGTCTCCAGTGAAAAAGAGCAAGTCAATGAGGAGCAGATCAGTAAGTGGCACTCCTCCATGGCCTCTCCCTCAGTGCCTGCTCAGTTCCTGCCCTGATTTCCCTGGATGATGGACCACAAGCTTTAAGAATAAATACACCCTTTCCTTCCACAGTTGATTTTAGTCATGGTGTTTTATCACAGCAATAAAAATCCCAAGACTTGACCAGGTGGTGATGGCACACACCTGTAATTCCAGCACTTGGAAGTCAGAGGCCGATGGATTTCTGTGAGTTTGAGGGCAGTACTACACAGAGAAACCCTGTCTGAAGAAACCAAATAAGACGGGCAGTGGTGGCACACGCCTTTAATCCCAGCACTCGGGAGGCAGAGGCAGGCAGATCTCTGTGAGTTCGAGGCCAGCCTGGTCTACAAGAGCTAGTTCCAGGACAGGCTTTAAAGTTACAGAGAAACCCTGTCTCGAAAAACCAATTTAAAAAAATACTGCATGATGTCAATGTGGTTGGCAAGAGCCTAATATTTCATTACTTTAGAAGCAGATGCAGGAAGATTCCACACAGTCTAGTTTATACTTCGAGGTCAGACCAGTATTAGAGGTTTCACAAAAAAAAGAAACCAAATTTAAAAAAAAACCCTAAGATATTTACCTAGTACCCAAGATTTGTGACTTTAAGTTTTACATTTTACATTAACATCCACTCTCATCCCTAAATTTAAGCAATGTACCCCTAAAGCACCTTATAATTTTATTTACGAAAGCCAGACATTGTGGCTTTGCATTGTCTCTAAACCTTGTAAAGTATAGTCTTTAAACAACACAACTTAGAAAGCCACAGAATCATCGTGAAGATACCTAAACGTGACTCTCTCTGGAAGCCTGAACCGATTTTTTCATGTGTAATACATTTTCTTTTCTTTTTAAAAAGTTATTATCAAAGTTCAGCCTTAGTTTAGGCTTGCTTCTAGCTCACTTTTTTTTTATATTTTTTATTGATATTTATTGAGCTCTATATTTTTTTCTGCTCCCCTCCCTGCCTCTCCTCTCCCCTTCAGTACTCCCCCAAGGTCCCCATGCTCCCAATTTACTCAGGAGATCTTGTCTTTTTTCTACTTCCCATGTAGATTAGATCTATGTAAGTCTCTCTTAGTGTCCTCATTGTTGTCTAAGTTCTCTGGTATTGTTTGTAGGCTGACTTTCTTTGCTTTATGTTTAAAAACTACCTATGAGTGAGTACATGTGATAATTGTCTTTCTGTGTCTTTGAGTGAGTGTTACCTCACTCAAAACAATGTTTTCTAGCTCCATCCATTTTCCTGCAAAATTCAAGCTGTCGTTATTTTTTTCTGCTGTGTAGTACTCCATGGTGTAAATGTACCACATTTTCCTTATCCATTCTTCGGTCGAGGGGCATTTAGATTGTTTCCAGGTTCTGGCCATGACAAACAATGCTGCTATGAACATAATTGAGCACATGTCCTTGTGGCACGATTGAGTATCCTTTGGATATATACCCAAAAGTGGTATTACTGGGTCTTGAGAAAGGTTGTTTCCTAATTTTCTGAGAAATCGCCACACTGACATCCAAAGGGGTTGTACCAGCTTGCATTCCCACCAGCAACGCAGAAGTGTTCCCTTTTCCCCACAACCTCTCCAGCATAAGTTGTCATCAGTGTTTTTGATCTTGACCATTCTGACAGGTGTAAGATGGAATCTCAGAGTTGTTTTGATTTGCATTTCTCTGATGACTAAGGATGTTGAACATTTCCTTAAGTGTCTTTCAGCTATTTTAGATTCCTCTGTTGAGAGTTCTCTGTTTAGGTCTGCACTCCATTTTTTTCTTATTGGATTATGTGATCTTTTGGTGTCCAATTTCTTGAGCTGTTTGTATATTTTGGAGATCAGACCTCTGTCTGATGTGGGGTTAATGAAGATTTTTTCCCAGTCTGTAGGCAGTGTTTTTGTCTTGTTGACCGTGTCCTTTGCTTTACAGAAGCTTTTCAGTTTCAGGAGGTCCCATTTATTAATTGTTTCTCTCAGTGTCTGTGCTGCTGGGGTTCTATTTAGGAAGTGGTTCCCTGTGCCAATGCATTAAAGTGTACTTCCCACTTTCTCTTCTATAAGGTTCAGTGTGGCTGGCTTTATGATGTGGTCTTTGATCCATTTGGACTTGAGTTTTGTGCATGGTGATAGATATGGGTCTATTTTCATTCTTCTACATGTTGATATCCAGTTATGCCAGCACCACTTGTTAAATATGCTTTCTTTTCTCCATTTGATATTTTTTGCTTCTTTATCAAAGATCAGGTGTTCTAAGGGGTGTGGATTGATGTCCGGGTCTTTGATTTGGTTCCCTTGGTCCTCCTGTCTGTTCTTATGCCAGTAGCAGGCTGTTTTCAGTTCTGTAGCTCTGTAGTAGAGTTTGAAGTCAGAGATTGTGATGCCTCCAGAGTAACACATTTTCTAAAGCCTCTCTCTTTCTTTCTCCCCCCCCCCCGCCCCACACTTAAATCTACACCCCTGTCTTAATACTTCACTAACTTTGCTTTCTTCTGACTCACCCTGAAATTCTTGTCTGCCTCTTGTAAAGCATAGCTTTGCCAAGTGGAGATTGCTCAGCAGGGAGGGACCTACTTAGGGTCCTGGGGGCACTAAAACTCTTGCTGGAGCCGCTGTGTCCTGAGGCCCAGCGCTCACTTAGCCCCAAGCACTGTTTCCTGCAGTGCCCTGACTTTGCAGAGATGAGTCCTGAAACCTTTACTAGGGCCAGCGAGGGAATGAAGAAAGGCCAGGGACACAGACCCAGAAAAGCTGGGCTTGAGTGGTTGGGAGAAGCCACGGTACCCCAGAAGTGAGTGTTTTTGATATATACTCAGCAAGGAGGCAGGTTTAGGGCATAGACTGAAGAAGGAGTCAGGCTTAGTTAATCTCAACAGGCCCAGACTGTAGAAGAACAGTCTTCAAGTTGTGAACATCCAGGAGGAGAAAGTTGAGGGGGACATTTTCTACACACCCACTCTCAACATTGACACTTGGAGCCCTGGGGAAAGCTTTGCCCTTACTCTGAGTCTCACCCTGGAGGATAAGAGAGGCTGTGCCATTTTCTTCCCATGAGTCCGAAGCTACAGTCCCCCACATGTGTCTATGACAATGACACACATTTACTAAGGCGTTCGTTGGCTCCCCACATCTCCCTCTTAGTTCTCT